GCACATTCAGAGTCACATTCCCTGTGAGCCTCAAAGCCTGATTTCCTCCACCATCCAACAGTATAAAACTCCAACAAATGTTGCATTAAATTCCTCCTAACTCCCAAATCCACAGCTGTAGAGTTGCTATAGCAACTGTCATCTCCAGCCTTCCCAGGGGAGAAAATAAAAGTGTGTCCTACCTGGCTAATTGGTATTTGTGTTACATAGAATTGAAGGGTAACTCAGTTTCACCAAAAGACAGAACCTAGACTGAAGTGCTCCCGTGCTAATGTGACATTATTTCATCTGAATAAGACTCCACTGTGCATGTGCCTTCAAATTATAGTGTTTACAGAACATTCAACACGAGGAGTAAAAATGTTGCTGCCAAATAGGCCTGATTTCCCCTGATTATTGTTTGGAATAAAAGGGGCATTAAAAGGCTAGAGAAACAAGAAGGAAGGTGGAAGAGCAGATGGGATTTAGGACTTCAGATTTCATAGGGGTTGTGTGACAATAAAACCCCTCAAAACCCCAACAACTTCCAACCAAAGGTTCATGCAAAAATAAGCTGATGGAGAATGATGACTCTATGGGCAACTGTTCCATCATTCCAGGCAGAAGAAAGCTCCCAAGCAGGGTGAGCACACTGGTTGAACAGCCACCACCACTCAGAGTCAGGACTAGAACTTTCACTTGAAAACCATCCTGCCCATCATTCAAGAAAAGATGCCATTTGGAGGACACATTGAGGACCAGGCTGACAGTTATTGTTGGTTGCAAACACAGCCAGAAATGGATCCTTTCAACCTTAGCACCATTACTAAATAAAAGCAATCATAGCCACAAGGCAGCAGAACCTCTGCAACCTCCAAATAGAACCATGACATATCTCTCTATATTAGCCCAATAACATAATTGGAGGAAATAAGACCTTAGGGGAATATTCCACACACACAAGTACATCTGGACGTGGTTAAGGAGCACAGATACAACTTCAGACCTGAGGAGACAATGATTCCTTTTCATCTGACAGCTCCAGCTCTGGCAAGAGCCCAGATTGTGCTTGTTCTCCAGGATCTGAGGAGCACAGGAAGACATCCATCTGCACAGCAGGGACAGACAAGCTTGGGGCAGGTGAGGCACCCAGGAGGAGCCTGTTCTGCCCTGCCCAGCACCTAACACACACTGATGTGCAGCTTTGTCCATAAAGGGATCTCATTGTCAGTGTTACAGCTTCAGGATCCAGGAAATGTAAGGACCAGGGAGTGTGTCTATGTCTATATATGGTAATGCTAAAGAGCCAGAGGAGGAGAAAATAGCTTGTAATCTCCTGGTCCTTCACAGTTAGAGCTAAGCAGTGGGAGAAGAAAGGGAGAAAACAGTGGCAAGAAACCTCCCACCTGTGCTGAGCACAACCCCACAGGGAATTCCTCCTGCCCTTCTCATCTCTGTGCCCACAGCAACACACCCAAATCCAACATCTCCAGTCCCTACCACATCCTTCCTGGGCAAGGGTTGTTATAAGAGGAAATAATTCCCAAGGCTTACTTTAAATCCAACCACATCCTTCCTGGGCAAGGGTTGTTAAAAGAGGAAATAATTCCCAAGGTTTACTTTAAATCCAGGATGTGCTTTTTATCTCAGGTACCTTCCCGGGAGAGTCTCCTGCAAATCAGGAGGAGGAGTTGGGTGAAGAACCTCTGGGAGGGCAACTAAGGATACCCCACATGGATCTGGGAAGGGAACTTATATCCACCTGCCTCAGTCACCTTCTAACATTCACTTAATCACAATTACAACTTCCTTAATATTCACTTCATATCAAACACAAATTACACAGCAGAGGTTTAAAAAAATGGGCATAATTAGTGTTGAAAACTATTGGTTTTCCCAACAATAAATTATCTTCCCTAGACAGAAAGAGCAAACCAGTGTTTTAAGAACTCTACATAGATTAGGATTTCTTCCTAATATTCCATCTACCCTCCATCAGCTTACAGCCATGAAGTGGCTTTCTATCAAACACACCCTAAAGGAAGGATCTTCATGAGGAGAGACATGGTCCAAAATTCCAGGCCCCAGGATTGGGTCCTGATCCTCAAAGGTCACAGCAGCACATTAGGGGATTTACTTTGCACATATATATATATATATGAAAACACACAGACAAATCCCCACCACGACACACAACCCCCAGAGCCTGGATATCTGCAGTGGTCCCTGACCCTGGAGCAAGGGCTCTCTGTGCCCATGGCAGCACAGCTGAGCAAACTCAAAGAGCAGTAAGACATGGGCAGAATTTCCATATTCCACCCCCACCAGGACCTGACATGCTGCATTACCAACCTAACCCTATAAATCCAACTGACCCTGTGTTTGCCTATTTTTTTAGATATCAAACTGGCTAAAAAGGTCTGGAATTTGGTTTTTCCCTGGGCCACCTCCCATACACCTCATGTTTTATCTCCATACATATGTGGCCTTCCTTCCTCTCCCCACACCTCCTCCCTCCAGCTGCTGCAAACACTCCTGCTTGAGTTATTTGCCTTTTATGAATTACCTGCAGCACATTTCTGGTTCCTTTTTGTTGTTGGAGGTGTTATTTTCTACCCTGTACAAGGCAGGTGTTTTCAATATGCTTTCTAGCCAACAACATTATGCTTGTATTTATTGATAAAGTAAAATAAATCCATACAGCAAAAGCCACAGAGTTATATATACCACCATTCCTCAGGTTAAAAGATTGTGCTGCAGGAGCTTTTCAGCAGCTGCAATTTCCATTTCAGCACAGACCTGTGTGGCTAAGCTGAAGCACAATATTTTGCAGAGCAAATATCTGACAGGAAATCACTAGCAATCACCAAAAAAAGTACAATCCCTGCACCCCCACGCAAAAAAAAAAAAAAAAAAGAAAAAGAAAAAAAGAAGAGAGAGATAGGAAGGAAAGCAAAGCAGCGAAGGTACTACAGCTCCAATTCTGTGTAGGGCAGGAGGGGAAAAGCCCCAAGGACAAAGGCACTGAGCAGCACTGGGGTTTGGCACCCTGTGCTGGACCAGCAGCTGAGGACTGGGACAGTTGGACACTCCTGGAGGGACTACAGGAGACAGATCTAGGGGCTGGCCCTAAGGACAGTCATCCACAGCTACATACAGGTGGGTTGCTGGACAAAAAGAGCAGCTTTCAGAGCAAGGAACTGGGCTGAGCCCCAGCAGCTTGGGGCAGGCAGCAGACACTGCTGTCCCTTGGCTCCAGTGTCCCCAGGGGCTCTGGGCAGCACACAGGAGGGCACACAGTTTCCTTCACCCCATCCCTTCTTCTGTGTGAAACTGGGAGAACCACCATCTGTTCTGCTGTCCTACTTGAATCTGGACCAGAATCTCCTGCTCCCAAACCCTAATTCAGCTCTATGAGTCCACGAAACCTAAAGTTTTGCTGCTAAGTGATCCAGAATTCTGGCAGCAGTCTTTGAAATTCTTTGGGTCTCTCCCTATCTCCTGGTTAAATCTTTGCAGATAACAGTTTAAAGCACTTCATCTTGGTCACCTGCAGCATCTCCAAGCAGGAGCCAACAGTCCCTGCCTCAGGTCGAGGTTACACACCAAATGACTGAGGCTAAAGCTGCTTCTGCTGGTCCTTATCTCTCCCTCAACAGGGAGAGCAGAGGCGTTCAAAGCATTTGTAAGCCTTGGCAGACCTCCTTTCCAGTGGAATTTAATTCCCTTTAGGGATGCAGTGGCTGCCTGGAAAGCTCATTGCAGAGGTGAGAGGATACACAGACACCTCTCTAACCTCTGGGTGATCCTGAGTGATCCTCTCTTCCACCACCAAACCTCCTCCTGGCTGATCCTCTCTTCCCCTGAGAGCCAAAACCGAGGCCAGAACAACTGCAAATCTGCACAAACAACCTCCTGAACTGGAAAGAGCAAAGCTCTGATGCAGGCACCTTCCCATGGAAGAGACCTGGAGCCAAAGCACAGACCTTCTCCAGTGACACCACTGTCTTCCTGCAACTTCACTGGAAGTTTAACTGCTGCAAATTTGGGAATGATGTCCCTGGCTCAAAGTGAGATGTGTTAGCTGGGATCTCAAATTTGCTCACTCATTAAAATAAGACACAATAATTCACTCTACAGTGCTGAGCTCACATGAGTTTGGTGTCTGAGAGTAAATATTAAGTGAAGAAAGAGCTGCAAAAAAAGGCCTAAGAAGACAAAACTCTTTCCTGCCCAGGATACCATGGGTTCAGGAATTGGGGATAACTGACAAGATGCTCCTACCTCCATACAAGATGTGTGGGAGAGCATTTGAGGCAGGTCAGTGATGCCTGGACTCACACCACAGGACACAGCAGCAGTTTCCTTTGGGCTGGGGAAGGGGATGTAGGGGGACAAACCTGTTTGGGACAGCCAAGTATTTCCATTTCTCCCTGAAGATTGGGCTTGGAGGTGTTTGCCAAACCACTCTGAAATTACAGCTATTCTCCAGAGAGAAGTAAAGGTGAATCTCCCTCACTGAGCATCAGCTGGAGCCACTGCTCAGCCACTGCAGCTCAGGACTATTTACACCCTGTTGTAAACATGCCCTGAGGCTGCGATCTGTCAGCAGAGCACTCCTCACACTCCACACTGGCCTCAGTCCTCAATTCCAGAGGCACAAGGGTCTACTTGAGTATTCCTTGACAGTTTTCTTGCTTACATGTTGTATTCAAACCCATTTAGTCAGGAGCTGGCTAATATGACAGCTAATTCCCACTTATCCTACTGAAAAGATACAATTGAAAGGGATGTAACAATAAACCTAATGGCTAATGTGATTGCTATTGACCATTTGCCAGCTTAGCAAACGAATGGCCCAGGAGCTAAACGGGGGGAGGGAAACAGTGCCATACATTGCCAGTTGGGCTGAGCTGACTGCAGAGCTCACTTGGGAATCCACACAGAGCTGAACATCAGCGTGTTCTAAGCACAGTGAATCCTGGTTATTATCAGGTGCACATCTGCTCACTTTCACCTACCTTTTCGGCTGACTGGGCAGTGCCAAAAAATATTGGAATGAAGGCAAGCCATACTATACATGTAGTGTACATAGTGAATCCAATGGGTTTGGCTTCATTAAAATTCTCTGGGACCCCCCGAGTCTTGATGGCATACACAGTACACGTCACCATCAGCAGAATGCTATACCCCAAGGAACAAATGATTTGTAGATCCGTAATGTCACATTTGAGCACTCCTCTGGCTTGGTCGGGGTTCATAGTTTTCTGCTCATCATAATCTATGATGATGTTGGGTGGGTCAACTGCAAACCAAATAAAGACCCCCAGGAGCTGCACTGATATCAAGCTGGAGGTGATGGCCAGCTGTGACGTGGGGCTGATCAGCCTGGGCGCAGTCACTGACTTTTTGCCCTGCTCGAAGATGCGATAGATGCGGTTGGTTTTGGTCAGCAGAGCTGCGTAGCTGATGCACATCCCCAGCCCCAGGAAGATCCTGCGGAAGGAGCACACGGCCACGTCGGGCTTGGCGATCATCAGGAAGGTGATGATGTAGCAGAGGAAGATCCCGGTGAGCAGGACGTAGCTGAGCTCCCTCCCCGAGGCCCTGACGATGGGGGTGTCGTTGTACCTGATGAAGGTTGCCATGACGAAGATGGTGGCGATGATCCCCAGCATGGCCAAGAAGACTGGGATGACAGCCCAGGGGGAGTGCCACTCCAGCTTGATGATGGGGATGGAGCGACAGCCCGTGCGGTTCTCGTTGGGGCGCTCGTTGTAGGAGCAGAGCAGGCAAGTCACCTCGTCCGCCTGGTACTGGTAGCCGTCGCAGAGCTCGCAGTGCCAGCAGCAAGGCATCCCCTTCACCATCTTCTTCCTCTCCCCTGGCTTGCAGGGCAGGCTGCACACCGAGGGCGGCACCGAGCGCACGCCGCGGCCCCACTGCATCTCCTCGATCTGCAACACACGGGCAACACACACAGGCTCAGAGGCTGTTACTCACAGGATGCTGCCACCAAACTGAGCTGGGACAGGAGAAGCACAGAATGTTAAGGTGTTGGAATGGACCTTAGAGATCATCCAGTGCCAACCCCCTGCCCTGGGAAGAGACATCTCCTCACTAGATCAGGTTGCTCAAGGTTCATCCAGCCTGGATTGAACACCACCAGGGCTGGGGCAGCCACAGCCTCCCTGGGCAACCTGGGCCAGTGACTCACCACCCTTAGAGTAAAAAACTTTTTTCTAATATCTAACCTAAACTTTCCCTCCTTCAGTTTGCACCCATTACCCCTTGTCCTATCACTGCAGTTCCTAACAGAGTCCCTCTCTGGCTCCTTGTAGGCCCTTCAGATATTGAAAAGTTGCTCTAAGGGAAGGGCCTAGGGGGAACCTCAACAGAGAAAACCCAACTGGATAAACTGTATATGTGTCAGACTCCTGGAGAAGCACCAGGAACTGCACCAGAAGTGGTGTCTTCCCATGGGACCCTAATAAATGTCTGTATCACTACCTTCAGTTGTTGGTTTTTAGTAGTTAATTCTGGTGAAATGACACAGAACAACAGAGGGAAAACCTCTTGTTTAATGAGAATTACTAAAAACACTGCAATGCTTGAGGGAAGGCAAGACTTACACTGCCAAAACTGCTTTGGACAAAGCTTGGGGCATCCTACCCAGACCAGAACAGAGATCTCCCTTCCTGGAGCTGCTACTGATCAGATGAATATTTTATATGAGGTAGGAATGTGTCTTATGTAGGGCATGGGATCAGTGAGAATGTGGCCAGATCTGCAGTATGAGCCAAGTATGAAATGTGAAGGACAGAGAAAATGGTCATCGATGAGAAGTGCAATAATTAGATAATGTTTCGTTTCAAAGTGACATTCAGGTTTGAAATACCACAGGTGCTGCTGGGAATGCAAATGATAAATGATTCTAAGAAATACATGGAAAGTCTCACTTGTTCTGCACTCTGGAGGATCCTGAACTCCAAAGTACGTGACAAAGGCTCCTAAGTACTGTGGAAAATTAGACTCACAAATCACTTCAAAGTATGCCAAACTAAAGCTACTCACTAGTTTCCAAGAGCAAGGGAGGTTCAGCATTGGAGCCCCCTGGAATAATCCAGACTGGAACCACTGGGAAGGTCCTGACATTCCCAGCCCCAGTTACCACCACACTTACTCAGCAGCTTGTCAGTGGCTCCAACAGCTGCTCTGTGTATGTGTGGCTTTCCCAAGCATAAAACCTGTTTCTCCTGGGGCAGATGTGAATAGTGTTATTAAAACCAAAATTTAGGCTGTTTTTCTTTAGGTCACTTAAAGTCTGCCAAGCTCCACTATCCCTACAAGGAAAAAAAATTCTGAGTCTCTCCAATCATCTGCCTTGATTATCCATAAAGGCTCAAGTTTGCAAGTCTTAAATTGAAGCATTAAGTTGCTCTTTCCTCATTTAACTCAAAATTGATCCTATATCATGTTCGTTCCATACATGTAAAAAAACCCAACCCTGAAGGCACACACTGCCCAAACACAGTGGTACCATGAGTCTCTGCTTGAAAGCTATCAAAATAACCCCTCAACAACAGATATTCCAGAGGTCTGCACTGCCTGGGAAACTTCATTAACCTCCAGCCCTTTGGAAAAGAGGAAAGATCCATGATCCCT